TGATACAGTTCTACAGATGAATCATTGAGTCTGTTCACTGCTCCTCCATCACTGTCTGGTTTGGCTCAGCAACCAAACAGGACAAGTACAGACTCCAGTGAACAGTCAGGACTGCTGAAAGAATCATCAGTACCAGCCTGGCCTCCATGGAGGACCTGTACACCTCACAGGTCAAAAGGAGGGCAGAGATTATTTCTGCAGACCCCTCCCACCCTGGACACTTCTCCCCTCTGGACGGCGCTACAGGTCACTGTACGCCAAAACAATCAGATACAAGAACAGTTTCTTCCCCTGTGCAGTCATGGGGAAAAGAACAACAGCCGCCAGTGCAATAAACTGTAAACACTGTATAACTGTATAACCATTGTACAATCTGAAAAGCTCTGCTGCCACAATGTATATATACATTTATAAATTACTGTTTCTCTTTTTTTCTATTTTAAATGCACATATTTTCCTATTTCCTTGTTGCCCTATAAACGCACATTAAGAGCCTCTATACCAGCATGAAACTTCTTGTATGATTAAACATAGTTATCCAATAAATGTGATTCTGATAAAGCAGTTCAAATTTTACAGCTACCACATTAAAGTGCTTCTTACACATGCGTGCATATAGTAGTAATCCAACAATTTAACATACAAAAATATGTTTGAAGGGATTCATTTTGATGCATATATGTATTTTTACTTTTGATTCTGAGCCCTAATACCAGATGGTATTATTACTTTAACTAATGGATCTGAGTACTTTTTCCTCTTCTGCATAAAAATTTGCTCATGAAAGTATTTTTTTAGATGTTCATCATTATCAGCCTCATCATCATGACAATTATTGCCACTGTCACCTTAATCTGTCAGGTGTGGATAATGCAGAATTACTAAACTAAACTTCCCTTTTTTGCACTTTGTTGGCTGCAGTTTCTTGAGCACTTGTTGAGTTATGGTGTAGATTTTTCTACTCCCTTCCACACGCACCCTTTAAGTCCTCCTTTGATGCATTACAGCAGCAGAGGAGAAATCTCCATCAGCCTATCAAACAACTTCACAGATAGTGCCTCAAAGCACAGAAGACGTCACAGCTTTTAGTCACGTTAATCCCTCACTGACTGCAGACAGAAACCCCCTGCTCTGCTCTCACAGAGGTAATTTGTTTTAGACAGTCACTTTTTCACAGTGTTAAATATTGTCGAAACCTGCAAGGTTTGTTTTATGGGTTGCCCTGTCCTGGGTTTCCAAGAGGGACGTATAGGACAGCTTTTAACAGAGGCTGACATTAAATACAAGCCAGATGGGCTTTCTCCTATTCTGCTTATAAAGGTTCTCAAGACAGTTCACAAATCAATGCCTCTTAGTGTCATGTTAAGTGTTTGGATTGTTGCTGCTATTGCACATTTGCAAATACTAATGTAATTTATAGGTTTTTGAGCATAATTTGAGACTCAACCCACTAAGATATTTAATATGCAAGCATTTAACTGTCAATAATAGTTGGATGAAGTGCCCAGCTTTTACTGCCGTCCATGGAAACTGGCTATAATAATCCTGACAACTTTTCATCCAACATGAATTAAGATTGAAGATTAAGACCAGTGAAGCCAAGTTAGTTTATGAGAAGCTGTGCTGGACTTTGGGGGTAAAATATCTCCTGTATGAAAAGAAACACAAGGCAGCAGGTTTAGTGTATAGCCAGGCAGAGGCTGGGGGTGGGGGTGTTAGGATGAAAAGTGAAATTCAAGATGCTATGCTATGCTAAAACGGAAAAGCTGCAGCTCTCTAGGGGTCAGCCCTCTTTCCGGAGGAGAGGAAAGTGGACCCCATAGTAGAGAGAGTATGTGGTGGTCCAGGTTTTTGGGTCACTCACTATGATGTTGCTGCTTACATGACAACAATACCAGAGGGCTTTGTGTTTCCTGACTGAGATATAATACCATCTGAAAGCCAGGGCTTGATTCAACATTATCACATTATACTACAGCACATTTTCCCACCTTCAAAATTCTTTAGCAGCTGTATTAATGTTAGAAGTGACAACTTTTATTGAAAGTAAATACAGTAAGTACATGTACTCACAAAATGTAATTAAGTACTACTTTAAAATACCTGAGTATTTTTATTTTATGCTACTTCAAATATGTACTCCTCTACATTTCAGGGTGAGATCTTGGACTTCAGATAAAGGTTGACGTAACAAATACATGATCAGTTTGTAATATATAATGTATTCTTATAATTAAAATACTGCAAAGTATTAGTGTTATATTAAGTACAAAGTACCTAAAAAGGGCAGTACAGTAGCCTCACACTGTCACCTCACAGCAAGAAAGGGTTTGCATGTTCTCCTTGTCCCTACATCGGTTTCCCCGGGTACTCTGGCTTCCGCTCACAGTCCAGACATACAGCTTACTGTAGGTTGACTGCTACTTTTACATGAGTAAATGACACTCCTTTCTTCTTTAAAGCTATGAAATGGTTCTTTATTTTATGTTGATCTTATATTAAACTTGTTAGTGAAATCTGCACCGGTGCTCGGATTATTTCTACTGCTCAGTTAAAGTTCTGCTTTCAAAATCTTACTATTAAAATCAAATGAGACTTAAAGAATTACACTTTTGGGCCAATAAATAAGAGAGAGAGAAAAGATTCACCAGAATTTGTGGAGACAGCTTGGAAAGAGCATGTAGACCTCCATGCTGGGACATAAACTGTAGAGCATTTATAACTGAACGTTTACTAAACTAAATAAAAATGTAATAATTGAAATAAAAAACATGTTTATTAAAACTTATAACCTACTTTTTGTCTTATTAATATAATATGTCCCCTTTTGGTGGCTTGGGGATGCACGGTGGGGTCCAGTGACCTCAGCTTTGCTGATACCTTGGCTACACCCCTGCTACTTTTACTTTTGGTACTAAAAGACTGCTTGGGACTAAAGTTTGAATGCAGGACATTTACTGGCAATTGAGTATTAGATCAACATGCACCGGAGCAAAAGCTGAGCTTGTTTTTCCATAAAGTTCCATTGGGCTTATTTTTCCATCAACATGCCTCCTGATAGCCAAGTCAGGCAGTGTATAAACGCTTAGCGACAAATGATCTAAACAATAATCATAAACTTCTCTATAAGTCACTGGAGCTCCTAAACATATGCATATACATGAATAAGCTTTACTGAGTCAGATACATGTTGCCACTGTTTTGGAAAACAATTCTTCAGATGGGAATTTTCTAAGTACTTCATCAGTTTTTTGCACCGGAATGTTTTACAGTGGGCGACATAATGCAATCATGATTTTTAAACAAGATTATTGATCTTTGCTACTATCTCCAGGAATGACAATGAAATTTTGGCCTTGAGGAAAAGCCACTGAAGATTATTTGGGATTCTTATAAACTACAATTACTCTGACATGCACAGATAATCTTAAAAGACATACAGGTAGGAGTGTGTCATGGCATAATTTCATTAGTGTTAACAGGTTAAGTTGTGCAGCAAAAAAAAAAGTTGATTTCATTCTATTTTACTATCTATATATGCATTTTAATGTTTAATCTATTTAATGTGCAGTCGATTTGTGTGCATTGTGTTAAGCACTTTGAACATCCTTTGTGTATGAAAACATGCTATATAAATTAACTTGCCTTGCTAGTTGCATTGTACTGCATCTTTGAGCAGTCACCAATAACCATCTTGATAAAACTGATTGGGAAATTAAATTTCAACATTATAGCACCTTTTTACGTAAGTCTGCCTGTGACATGGCTTTCTTATTAGTCACACTATAACAAAGCAGATCTCCTGTGGAAAGTGACTGCAGAGGGAGGTCATGGGCTGCGCTCTAAACGGAGGAGCTGTTGATTAAATCTGTGTCTGGATATATAAAATACACTGGGGCCAGTAAAATGTATACAAAGTGTAAATCTGCCTATTCTTCTTTCTGCACTGCTGCAGCGTCCTCACACGGGTGTGATGATGGCAGAAGGTCTGAAGATGAACACAAACCATGCTGATCGATCAAAATGAGTTTTTAGTAATAAGGATCAAAACAAGAATCTGTTTGATTTGGTATTTAAACTCATTTCGCTTTATCACATATGCAAATGATGTCTACTGTTTATTTTTGTGGATTAATCCAACCAGTTTGATCACATCCACTCGCGCCTTTCTATTCCCGCAAGTGCATTTTTTTTATTTTTAGGTTTGTTTACTTCATTATTTACGTTTATGTGCAACTTCTTGAATTCCTGTTTATTTCACTAGTTGTTGGGTCTTTTATATTTCCTACTTAGAATGCAAAAGAAAATAACAAAAACAGTATTTAAAATGTTTTAATTAATCAAAATGTAAATTTTAATACTTAAATTAAACCAAGTGAGGATCATCGCCATATGATTGACTCAATCATGATGAGCGAGCAACATGCCAATTCAAAACATAAAATAATAATAATAATAATAATAATAATAATAATAAATTGTAATTTCATTTTACAAGTAAGAAACATTTTATTTACAATATATTCAGTGCAAATTATTATTAACAAAATAGCACAATATAGGGCAAAAATGAACACTGCCGTGATGATGTTCTGGGATTTCATTTACAAAGTGAAACGAGTGGTTCATAACCTAAAAATAAAATTCACAACCGCATAGTTCCTTCACACGAGGAAACCATGATGCACACAGAAGCTCACAAAAAAATGGCAGTAAGGAGGCGGGAGGAAGTTCCAGCGTTGAAATTAAATAGCCTGTGGTTATAACATCACTTACTGAAAACACAAAACGAGACAAAATGTAATAAAATTCACAGGCTCTTTAAGTGTAGCTCCCTGTGTCTATACTAAAGTGATGTGTGACAAACAGCCTACTGTGTTGTTGCTCCGCTTGTTCCCAGAATGAACCCGACTCAGGCCTGGATTTGGCTGCAAATGCTACAGTCTGGGACCTCGCCACACAACACTCTTTAGTGAACTGACTCTGCCACTCCAGATGTGTCTTAATATCACTGTCGTCCGTCTGCCACTGTCGCAAAACCTGTCCTTTATTGTTCTTAAGCTAAAGGCCACCCACTGCCTTCATATTAGCACCTGTGAGGCCGCTGTGTCTGTCGCCGTGGCCGCTGCCTCCGCGCTCCCGCTCGTGATCACGCTGGTTTTATGGTGCTCAGAAATGTCCACATGTGCATCCGAGATTTCTTCCTCCGGAGGCTCGTCGGAGTCACACTCGCTCCTTCCCTCGCTCTCACAGTCGGACTCCACCGGCTCCTTGGACTCACCCACACTCTTGTCAGGCTTCTCGTCCTTCTCCTTGTCTTTCTGAGCCTGGGCCTCTTTGGAGTGTCTCCACTTCATGCGCCTGTTCTGAAACCACACCTTCACCTGCGAACACAGGCGTCGTCGGATTAGACAGAATACAGTTGAAGCTTTGTATTTAATTTCCTAACATTTTCTGAGTTTCTAGATCTTAATTTGCATAGTCTTTTAAAACTTTTCAATATAGCCTAATGTTACCAAATCTGCTTTTTGCAAAGAGGCTGCAGGTACACACTTTACATACACTTCAAAGCTACCAAAACGAACCACTACCCAGTATTATTTTATTTTACTTGTACTTTTCTTTTCCAGATCATTTCCATTGAGGTATACTGTATTTTGAAAGGGAGCCTGAGCAAGCTGAGCACAATAAGTGCAAATACAGTAAACAAATCAGCAGCAGGTGAGAAGAAAATTACTGGTACCCTGGCTGTTGTGACATGATGATCCATTTCTTATCAAATCAAATTGTGATAAAATAAAGCAATTAGTGTTCCTGCTATTAATAATGCATCATGAAATAATTCATTCAGTTGAAGCCATGTGTTCTTTTCACTTATAATGAAATGCAAACGAGTGTTAGTGGAGATTTGGTGAGATTTGGCAGTTCCTGGACAGCTCTCAGCCAATCAGACTGCACCACAGATGAGGGGCTGCTTCCCAGTTAAAGGTCTTTCAAGGGCTGTTTCGAGTTTGTCTCTTGAATTTACAGTATGGGAAGCGTGAGCAAGCAGGCTGCAAAACTCTGGGGGTCTTGTGTTATGAGAATCAGTCTGTAATCACCTGTTAGGGCCGCAGCTATGAGGACAATGAGTGTTTAAGTAACCTGTGCCTGACCTCTACAATTAAAAAATACGCACGATATATTTTTAGAGGCTGAGTTAGAAATTAAATATTATGTAGGGAATTAAAAATTAACAAACATATAATTAATAAGAAAGTATTAAAAATTGGAAAAAACAAACAAACAAACAAAAAAAAAAAAACAGAAATCTTTTAGGTGTCTGTTCAAAATGTGTTTTGGGGAAAACGGGGGCTCAGTATTTCTAAAAGCCTGTCTACGAACCTGGTGTCCTTTTGTTTTATTGCTCATTTGGAGTCTGACTGCCTTAGGAGGAACTGGCACTACAGTTACAACCACCACTGTATCACTGCATCTAAAATTACATCCACACCAAAGCAGCATCATTTCAAAGGGTTGACGCGCAACACGAAATAATTTCAACATCCATAAACATCCAAAAAATGTTAAAGCAATTACATGAATTGCTTATTTATCTAAAGTGTTACAGGCCTGTCTGTCTTCGAGAATAATCTCAGTAGCTCTTTGTAAGAACCTTTATGTAGAGCCAGCTTGTGGCAAAAAAAGAGAAACCTTTAAACATGTGCTCCATAAAGTGTCGGTCTGTGCAGGTGCTCTTACCTGAGCATCTGTCAGCCCGAGCATGGCAGCCAGCTGTTTTCTGTCCGGCTTGGTGACATACTTCTGTATTTCAAATCTTTTCTCGAGTCCCTTTCTCTGCAGATTTGAAAACACTGCTCTCGACCACGACCTTTTCCTCTTGTACGTCTGAGGCATCGTGTCTTTTGTGAGGACAGCATATGGACCTAAAAGCCAGGAAGAGGACACAGGGTTAAAACAAAAAGTCCAGAAACCAGAGGGACATTCACTGCAGGTGTCTCACACAGGCCGGTCTGCTGGCCTGTCGCAGTCCTACATGTGATGGCTACCTGGGAAGGTGTCCTGAAACTGATGCTGGCCTGATTGTCTGCTGCTGCTGCTGCCTAATGAACTCATCACGGCGGACGCGTCGCTCATCCCGGGGTCTATGGAGGAGAAGTACTGGCTGGCCGGAGGTGGAACGGGGACATGGATCCCTGACTGACAGTTCGAGCTAACGATGGACGTGAGATCTGTTACAGAGCGAGAGATGATGGGCTTCAGTTAGCAAAGAGTTAGGCTACCGCAGTGACACACATGCAGCTTGCCTGAAGACTGACACTGACTGCACTTTTGGGGGACAACGTGTTTAGAGAAAACGAGACCATATTTAGAATACATTGCCTGAATCTCCATCTGAACTGCTTTTGTGCAGCTGCACTGATGCTAATTATGACGGATCCTGGACTCTGACCTCTCTGTGGAGGGGGCTAGAGAAGAGGATTCCCCTCAGGGCTCCTTAAAGTCCAGCTGTACTATGAGGCTATCTGCGGCTCTAAGTACTCTGTGAACAAGTCTGTCAGCGTTACAACCTGGACCAGGTAACTGACTTTACACATCTGCAAAGTCAAATTGCTTCTGGTTTGTTGCTTTCAGTTTGTAAACTTGAAAATTGGTCTTGTCTTGCAGTACCTAATGATCTATAATTACAAAAACATTTTAATGTCAGAATAGATAACTTATCATTGTTTTCTTTGGAAGCGTCTTTCTCTATAAACACCACGAAACGTATTGGTATAAAACCTCTCTGCTCACCTCTCACTGAAGACTTTTCTTTGCCTTTTGCGTCAAAATCCATCGACAATATCCTGTCGATTCCGAATTTGAGGTCTTTGCTTGAAGGCGGGGGAGCTTGTTGGGAGTTAAATGCAGTTCTGGAGACTGATGTTAACTGTAGTCCGTGTCTGTGGTACGGAGACGTCGGGCTCACCCTCGCACCATACGGCTCCGGCGCGACAGGAGAAGGACGCAGTGGAGAGCTGCCGGAGTGGCCCTGCTGCGCACGGTGGTGGTGTCCCATATGCACCATGAGTGCCGACGATGCCGGGATGTTCTTCGCATCTCCAGCCTGCAAAATGTCTGCGATGCAAAACGAGGGTTTCTTCATCGTATCCACAGCGAAGCTCCCTGCGCAGTAGGCAGACCAGAGGCTAAAATTCGATGCGTAAAACGGGTTGAGCCCGGTTGTATACATCCCGGAGCCTCTAATGTGTCTTATTGTTTCTCAGAAAAGTGTATAAAAGGAGAGGCATAAAAAAAAAAGCAGGGATAGCGTTTTAGCTGGACAGATAACCGTCCTCTTTCTGTAAGTGCCAAAAACCTTCTCTCAACTCTGAAATCCTAACCCTGCAGTTCCATGCTGAAGTTCCTCCGCTGACACTGATTGGTTGCTTTCTGAGCCAATGGACGTTTTGCATTTGCTCACATCACGCCCTTGCAAATTAAGATGATGTGTAAACCCATCACACACACACACACACACACACACACACACACACACACCACACACACACACACAAACACACACACATGAGCGGTGATACCTCGGAGGAATTTTGATCCTCAGATGATGGATTGATTACTTAAAGAGAACCCCCCCCCACCCCGCCGCACAAAAGCATTATGGGCATGAGCTGTCGAGCTAATTTAGATGGTTTTTAAATGCATTATTTTAGGCTTCACATGCAGTGGATTGGATGTACAGTCATTTCAAGAACGTCTTTGAACTGGAAGTTTTTCCAAGACATTAAATCTTATGTCCAGAAAAAAAACAAACAAAAAAAAACCAAAATGAAATCGATAGAAAATAAGAAAATAAGCCATAATACTTACTGAATAATAAACTGTACAGAAATCAACGTACAATCGTGCAACCCTCTGCACAGGAGAGCCTCTATTTGCTCCAACTCATCCTGTTTTTGATGGGCTGTGATTCGTGTTAAATGAGCGGATATGCCTGCTAGATTTGCTCCCAAAATAGAACTTGGTTTAGTATTTTAGGATACAGCAGAAACCCTTATTTCTTCCGGAGCAGAGGGGGTGAGCTTTATAATGACTGTTAGAACTTCCCTTTTCAATATTTGTGCAACTTTATCTCGACCTGCAAGTTGCACGGTGACGCAAATCCGTCCCCATGCTCATAATAAACAGAGGAAACCCATTCCCCTCTAAAAAGAAAACACAATTAACTTCAGAGACGATACTTCATCCGCAAGGCCCCTCAAGATTCACACGTTCAGTCCTGGCCAAGAGGATTTCGTATACATAGTTTTAGATTGTTAAAATTCCACCTTATATATTTTTTCACGCAGCGTCTTTAACATGACCTGATTTTTCCTGACCTAAAATAAACATATGTTTTAATACTTGCAATATAAAAGCAGCTTTAATTATCCTGTTAGTTTGGTTAACATGCTTTTTATACATATATGTTTTTAAATGGTCAATTACAATAAACAGTCTCTCGGTTTCTCCTGCTCTCCTCCGGTCGTGTCTCGATACTGTTTGCGCCTCCGCCCTCCGCGGGTTCTCCGATCGCATGTTTCTCTTGCATGTGTTGAAACAATGGCTTCTGAAGCCCGCATTCATTTAGTCCTGATTCATGCGAGCGGAAGGACTGATGACCCTGACTGCCTCCTATCACGCTGTTTTCGAGTGACACTTTTCCGGGTTAAATTTAGAAATGAGATTTAAAGTTTGCCCTCTATCATGCAGTCAAAACAATCCAGGGAAAAGGATGTAACAGACGCAGCACACCTCGAGTTATTTCAGGTGCTGATGAGCTTTTCAGTGGGAGGTATTTAAAAACAGGCCTCAGATCAGCCTTTACGCACAGGGAATGCAAATCTGCATTCATTGTAGCGCCATTTTATATTAAGAATTTACTTCTTCAGCCATTTTCCAATTAATATTTCATCTATCATACACTTTGGTGCTTAAAAAGGCAATTGGAAGTTATTTTTTTGTTTTAATCAACCATCCAATTCATTAAAATAAATTTTAAAAATCTTTTTTGGTATTTCCGATCTTTATTTTTAGCACCAACAACAAGGAGTCATTAGGAAAACAGTTTTCAGTACCTGTCAAGTCCCTGCACCTGTTTTTGTGCACAATTTCATTTACCGTGTCAGTGAAGATATCAAATTTAGTCTGGGTTGGATCAAAAGTGCATCAGCAGGCTCTTCCCATAACTGGTTTTAAATATCCAAACATGCACACAATATTTAAGTGCTAAACCACAAGGGTGGCACCACGCCTCGGGGTGGGATTTCATGTGCACTTCTCGTTGCCTTTATGAGTAACTCCACATGTTAGAACACGAACTTTATCCTGACAAAAATGAAACAAACGTATCGTTTCCTGTAGCGCAAGGTGCAGTTTCTGCAATAAAATTATTAGAATGAATTTTTGTATGTTCTCAAGAAGAGAGAGCTGGAGCATAAACCTTTCAGTGCACTGAAACCGCAGCACAAGTGAAAATGGTCAGCACATGTAAGAATGAACCTGAAACTTGCCTCTGGCTTGGTATCATTGCTTTACAGGATCAGGTCTGAAAACCGAATCTTCTTTTAAAATAAAAACACACATATTTGATCCACAGAATGCCTGTAAAAAATTGAAATATTGCTTTTCCAGCCAGAATCCTGCTGGATACTATTACTCACACTTCGTTCCATCTTCCAAACCAGTCCTCTGTAGATCTATATTAACAATGGCAGGTGTGATTACTGCCAGTGCCAGCAACTCCTGACTGGGAGGACTTGAGAGCTGAACTTGTCTTAAACAATAAAAATCTCACAATCACATGGCAATCCTTAAGAAAGTGCAGTACTGTTATACTGATGTCACTTTACTTCCACTGCATCTGAAAGGGAAACACTCTACTTTATTCACACAGATTAAGAGTTGACATTAAAGTAAGATGTACAGACATACAAACTACAAGGCATTATGAAAAATTAAGCCAGTGGCTCTGAGTGTCAGAACAGAGATAAACTGTACAGGCCCAAGGAGGTCACATGATTCAGTATGTCACAAAAAAAAAGGCAGCTCCAAAAAAATAAAACATGAAAATGTGTGTGTCACAACTTGTTTTTCTTCTTTTATACTATATTTATTCATCTCCTGACACACACACGCACACAGGGGGGGCCCAACCCCTGTGAACCACTAGACTAAAGTACCTAACTGTTATTTTTAGCTTTGTCCAGCTAAAATAAAACACTACTTGCAGCACCTTATGCTTTGCTTCAACAAACGTCACTTTTTAAATCATTGCTATAGTCTCTTAACATCGAGGTCATATTAAAGTTGATCCTTTTTGTGGTGTAAGACATGATTTTTACCCTTTAAAGACCAATTCCCCATTAAAAATATGACCGATCATCACAAAAACACTAATATCTGATTAGCAGCCTGATCAGCTCACAGGAGGCAGCAGCTCGACCTTAACACTCTGCACTAAACCTAATCAGTGCTTAAACAACATCAAAACATTTATGAGTCACATGCTCAGATGGGATGAAAACAAAGGCGTGCTGCTGTGCACTGTTGACTATCTGAGGTTTAAAGGGTCTAACGGAGCCCATTGTTGTTGCCTGATTGCTCGCTGTGTGTTTTTCCAGGAAGCCTTATCAGGCGGAGGAAAACTTGAATGAGTGACTCGAACTGTAACACCGCTGGGTCCGAGGCTGCGGGACAGAATTAAATAATTTCCATTATTAACACAGAGAATTATTGCTCCCCTCTGTGAGACTCCAACTCAAGCCAAGATTACTATTTCTGGCAATGTTTGCCTCAGGAAGGAACTTTTGCAGATTTAATGGGACCTGGGCCATTGTACACAGCCTTCTGCATGGCACTGTGCCATCATCTGCACAGAGAGACGAGAGGGGGACTAATGTCCATTCAAAGCAAGACGCTTCTGTTTATGGGACCAGGAATACATCTAATATATCTCACACCGTGAGCTCTCCCTGAGGTTGACATTTTCATTTGCATGTAGGTTAAATGTTAACATCTTACAGTGACTGTCTGGTCTTGGTCTTGTTCTGCTTTGTGCTTTTCTTATTAAAAAAAAAAAAAAGACCAGCTTCATATCCATCTTCCATTAGGTGCACTATAGCTCATCTTAGCTCACATGTGGATGTTTGGTGGTATTCATGTATTTAACTTAAATAAAAGCAGAAATACAACAATGTTAACATTCTTTGCTACAAGTAAATGTTGTGCAATCAAGTAAATTTACAGAAGCATCATCATCAAAATACACTCGAGTATCAAAAGTACTCATTATGCAAAACTAGCCCCTTATATATTTTGTTATTTCTTATATTGTAGCGTTTTACTGTTGGAGTCGGTGAAGGTGAAGTTAATATTTGTTACTAGTTTGAGCTACAATATAACAACATCATATTTTGTGTTAAAGTTGAGAAATAAATAAGGTACATTTTAAAAATCTAGATATGCTACATACATTACAAGAGAATCTTTTGCTAAATGTAGAGCAGTAAAAACTACATTTCCACCGGAAATGAAGTTACACAATTACAGTGGTTAAACTCAAGGAAAGAACTTAAATACTGTATTAATTTATAAGTAAATGTTCTTTATTTTCCACCACAATTCTGAATAAACTGTATATACACTCTAAAATATTCTAATGAATCAACTACAGTGAATTATAATTACTGATATTGCCACGATGCACAAAATGATTAATACATTTAAATGTCTGCAGGTCCACGCCATCTCTTTTTCCAGCCCTTTCTATACATAGGCTGCTGAAGCTTTTTCCATATCACCACTGTGAATGTAGTTCAACAGAAGGCTGATTACTCCCACAGATACTGCATAAGACATGAACGAGCATGTGAAAGCATTAAATGTTCAAGCATCTTCCACCAGTGACCATCTTCTTATTTTTCCATGTCATTTTTATTTTGATTAAACCTACAACAATTACTCAACTGCTAAATTAAACAGGCAACTATTTCAATAGTCTATTAATAATTTTTTTTCCAGCAAAAATGCCAAACTTTTAATGCTTTTTTTAAAAATAAAATGGTGGCCTCCAATTTATCTCATAAACAAATATTTCGCTTCCCAAAAAAAAAAGTCTGATCTCTATCTGGTCTATACTGTGTGACTGTGGAGCTGCTGGCTTGTTTTTCTGTGCAGTCTCTGTGTTGAGTGACTGCAACAGCTGTTGGAGACAGAAAAATAATCATACAGCAAATGACCTTCAAAGTTCACAATCCTTGCTCATAGAAAGTTTCAAAGTGTCTGACCTAGCAAAATAACACTCCCCCAGCTTTTACATGGTGATTTTTTACTGAAAAAATAGTGGAGTGGTGTTAATTCTACAGGGTCCAAATAAGTGTTACACTGATTTACTGCGGATCTATTAGAGAAACAATGACACAAGCGTTGATTAAACCAGTAAACTCTCAGTTCTCTCTCTGGAGTGAATGCTTGTCTCAACCAGCACTTTTCTTTAGTTCCACTGTGGAACAATACAACAGATAGACATACTGGAAATGAGTCCATGGACCCCGATCATTTGAGTGAATGACCGAGGAGAATAAATCCCATTACAGCCCCGCGCTTCCTTTTGTGGTAGTGGGGTTTTGCCCAGTTTAAAACATTAAGTGGTCATTAGCTGGACACTGGAGTGGTAGACTAATCACACTCACCCCAGCCTGCCCTCCACTGTAAACAACCTAAGGGGCTGCTTTAATGGAAGCTTTTAAATATGATGGTGACTCGGTGCCTTTGAGCAAAACCATCTGTTTACATTAAAACAGATTAAAATCGTCACTTGTGCGGCCTTCTACAGCTCAAGTGTACACACGGTTAAATCAGATATACAGTACTGTAAGCAGGCTCGCTCTCAGCTAAATACTGTGGGAGACTAATGGAAACACAAAAGGTCATAATAACAAACCATTAGGGCCTACTGCTGCTTCTCCGGAGGGTGGCGAGCTGCCATGAGGAGCATAAACCATCTCATGAAAAAAAAAAAAGACAATGGGAACACAAACCAGTTCAGTCAGATAGTCGTTTTATGTAAATGAACATCTGGTGCAGCTTAGTCCTAAAACATTTAAAGTAGGCTTATGGTTCAAGAAAATCAACGATTAGCCTATTGCGCATTAGGTCGGTACAAAAACGTCTTTATTCCAAAAAACGCGTGATTAAAAAAAAAGATACAAAGAGAGCGTGTTTCTGCAGATGCGTTGAGCGCAGTTTGTCTGACGCAGAGCAGAGCAGAGCAGCTTGCGGGTTTAACAGTCCACACCTTGGCTAAATCAATCCGTTGTTTAACGCAGTGGTGGAAAAAAAAAAAAAGGAGACCACGATCCATCAGCAGAGAAGCTCCAAACAGCAGCAGGGCTGAAGGTGCAGAGAGGTCTGCAGGCCTGCTGCTTTTATGGAGTTAAAGTCAGATTATAGAGATGTATAATCCGTCTGCTCAGGGTTTGGAGTGAAATAAATCCATCTGTCAATCTATTTAGATCAGTTTGTCCCAAGGGAAGACAGATCGCATCGGGACAATTTGTCCAGAAACCAGCTACTGGAAATGCTTTTTTTTCCATGCTGTCCCAGGAGCTTCTTCTGCTATGGCTTTAATTTATGATTTCATTTTTAACGTCAGACTCTGTAGCTCTCAATCCAACTGACCAGAGGCCTAACAAACACGGTTCCCTCTATTTTATATTTATATATATATGATCCAGATCCTGCAACTAATTGTTGTTGTATAAAATGTTTAAACACAAAATGTTGGCCTAAATCCAAACTGTCCATAAAAGGAGAAAACGTTAAAGTCAACAAAAATTACTGTCTCCGAATGTTTTATAAAGCAAACATTTCTTACAAGTGGTTTAGAATTATTTACACAATGCGTTGCACTCTTCACTTTAGGGGCTATTGATCGTTATCTAATATGCAGTAGGCTATATATGTATTGCTTATTTAATGGAATCATTCTGATTTATGACCATAACGTTACTGCACTCTGGACAACATAATGTTAAGCCTTTCCCCCCTCAGTACATTGACAAGACAGCAGTCCATAGCCCCATATCCAAAACGCAGCCACATACAGTGAAGTGCTGCCTTTTCTTAAGCAAAACGCTTCCATCTAGTGGCCACGGATGTTTTACACTGACAGAAAATAAGAAAAGTTTGCATGGCACATTGACACAATAGGCAGGCTGTGGATATAAAACGTGTGTGTGTGTTAAACTAGAACCCAGCAGCATATATTTAGGTGACAGTAGATCAAATATTTTTGTTACAATAATATTAACCTGCATACTGTATCTGCTACTTTACTGCAGGTAAACTATATCAAATAATTGTTTTGATTTTGTTTCCAAGTACAGAGGAGTCCTGGGTTTAACCTTTGACCTCAATTAAAGCCTAAACGCCATCTTCAGGAGAGATGCTGGGTTTACTCAGGAAGTGAAAGTAGATATCAGCTGCCGGTGCTGGTGATACTGGAACCTTTGACTGATATTTGTCATCACACTTCTGCTACAATTTTTGCTAATTAGGAAGCACAGTAGTTACATTACCAGTGCATATATTAAAAACATAAAATATTTAATAATGTCTGTTATTCATGTCATTGTCTTTCTTTCATCCTACAAATACCAAAAGCTTGAGAGGCACCACTGAGGCCTAAAAACAAAAAGCTGCAGTTTAACATGATCATTACTTATTGATCTGCTTTGTTTGTTTCACTGTTTGATCTATACAATGACCTGAATGTTTACTAAGCACTTTATTGATTAATTGCATTACAGCCAATGACTGTACTTTGCTGCAGGTCAACAGATGCCTGAGTAAACACTCCATTACACCACTCAACAAGTGTGATTTAATGACAGTTCCCTCTTTTACTGCATGTTACACCCAACACCTCAGATATGTGAATAGAGAAGCAGCAGCAGAATTAACAATAACACGTGTATGAGCTCTGAACAAATACCAACCTCTGGCAGTGCACAGTCTCCACAATGAAAGACTTTGGCACAAACATAGTGCACAGGCATCCACATTCCTAAACAGACCAGTGGAACAGAATTAAATTCATAATTAGAAACAACATGACAATGACCCACCTGTTTGAGATAATGTGCACAAGGTTTTGTAACATACATTTTTATCATGTAAAAATTTTCATAAACCTTAGTTTTAATTTAATGCCAAGTCATTAAAGCAAACAAAAATCAAAATCAAAGTAATCCATAAAAACTCCTTCAGACTGCCCTCTCTACCATTTGTTTCTTTAAAACAATAGTTCAATATTTTGCAAAATAAGCTTATTCTCTTTTCTCCAGCTCGATGTTCAACCAGCTGATGGGAGAGTGGTATAAATCCTAAGTATTTACTAAAAAAAAAAGAACTTTTGCACTCTTACATATTACAGTATTGTGTGAGGTCAGTTATTCTGAGTGGTTTTATTTTATTTATTTAACCAGGAAGCTCCCATTGAGATACAAGATCTCTTCTTCCCGGGGGTCCTGATTAAGATGACTAGCAAAACTGTATAAACAAGTGAACTTAAAAAGAAGCTGTCAATGTTCATGAAAGGTTTAGTGTCCTTATCAGACAGGCCAGTGCACTGGGATGCCACCTGTGCTGAGGTTTAGCTCTGGTCATTCAGCAGGCTCTCTCGTTCTCCTGGGTTGCTCTCCTCCTGTACATTCACCATCCTGGCACAGAAAGGTATCCTGGTGAGCAGGGGGCGGTGCAGACCATTGTAGAGAGCTGTGCCCAGAAGCAGCACCAAAAAGCCCAGAACCTGCAGGCCGTGAAACTGCTCCCAGCCAAGCCCCAGGCTAACCACCCAGATAATCAGCGTGCGCAGGCTGTCCAGCACCATGCGAGTGGTGGCGCTGATCTCTTTTGTGACGCTGATCCCGGCAAAGTTGAAGAAAGCGATGCTGACTGTGTTTCCCAGTAGAGCCAGCAGGATGAGAGGCTGGTGCCCGATCTGACAGAAGGCATCCAGCGCGTCCTCCAGGACGTGTCGAGGGTTGTTACTGAAGTCGCCCACAATGATGAAATACATTGGGATGAGCAGCAGCGACAGAATGAAGAAACCAAACAAACCTGCAGATACAGAACATCATTTATTACAAATCCTAACAGTCATTCCCAACATGTTTGGCTTGTGACCCCATCAATTCAGGTCAATTACCAAATGTACTTGCTGGAAATTTATTTATATAGGGCATTTTCATGCACAAAGGCAATTGAAAATGCTTAACACAACACACACAAAGAGACACACACATTACAATGCACACAGATAAAACATTAGAATGCAAATGCAAAATATCAATTACAGCACAAAGTAGCAACATGCTTTTAGGGCAGAGACACACCAAGCCAACATGAAAGAACTAGCAGCAACATAGGCTGACTGTTGTGTCACCTCATGTCGCCTTTGTCTGTGCCAGTCGGATCAAAAAACTGACACTTGAACACACCACACAGAGTACAGCCAACACTGACTAGCACATGTTCTGTCTGTGTGAGAGAAATAACGTGCCCTACCAGCAGATGGCAGTATCTGTATTCACCATTCAGAAAGTGAAAGCAGAAGAGGCAGAAATACAAGTTGTAAACAATGCAGCTCTCGTTCAAAACAGCTGCTGTTTATGCCCAATTCTAATCCAGAACATGTCTGATAAGAAGCTGCAAATGACAATACTGTTCTCTGCCCTCAGTCTCTCCTGCTGTGAGTTGAGGTGGTATAACTCTGCCCTTCTTTGGGTAAAATCCTCCTATTGGTGGTGTTGTTGCAAGACATGTTGTATGTAAAGACAGAGAAACAGGTCATGTACCTTCAGTACCGACAGCCCGAAGAGGATGGACATCGTGTTTGTAGACAAACTTTTCCTCCAGGACCATCTGCACTGCAACAATGATCTGAGCTATGATGATCAGAAGGTCTCCTGCAGGACAAGACAGAGAAGTGGAATGAAAGAAAAATCATATAACAGCAACATTAAATATGGCATTGCTTTATTTGATCAGTTTTCTTGTTATCCTGCACCACCACTGAAATGAGTGCAGAGCAAACTCTACTTTGCTAGATGACTACAACAAACCTCAGAGTACATCATAAAGAAAATCCACCTTACCCGTGATGACGTCACTGAGTTTGCGTGTGTCGTCTTGGTGCCCGCTGAATAAGTCAGAGAGGCCCACTATCACCAGGCCCAGGATGGTGATGACGATGCCAAGCCACTGGCTAGCTGCCAGATGGCGCCTCAGGAAAGCCACAGAGAGCAGGCCAGTGAAGATGATGACGGCTCCACGCAGCATCTGGAAGCTGGAGGCGCTGGTCATGTTGAGAGCTGGAAAATTGACAGGGTGAGTACACAAAAGGCTAATCACAGTCGGCATGAGTTAACTTTGTACATTTGGCATCTAAAATTATGTGTTCCTTTTCAAGAGACTTATACAAACAAATTCATACAGCCTGCTAAAGCTGAAAGACAGAAGCTGCATAACACGTCCAGTGATACTGAGAAAAGCAACTTTGTTCTCTCTGACTAATCTCTACTGCACCAATGGGATCTTGTCATGACATCTGACGTCTGAAGGGCAGAACACCTCATGTTTACCATACAACCAACATCTGAGCACTTTCGATAAGCTGTTGGCCAACACTGTCTTAACTTAAAAAAAAAACTGAACACACAGTTGTGGTCACTTACCAACATACATGATGGACGTGCCCATCATGTCACACATGGCGGGAGGTAGGAAGAGGAGAGGGTTGAAGCTCTGACCTGGGTTCATCTTGGGCTCTGGTCTCCGTCGGTCATGGCAAAGTAAGATGTAGAAGACTGCAAGACAGCTGAACTCACCCAGAAACATACCCACTGCCTGGACAGGGGTTGAGACAGGGACAGACAGGGGAAACTGATTTTAACTAACTTTGGAAACAGCTGCTGAAATAACAATTGGATGTTAGCATTAGCTGAGACAGCGTACAGCTAAAAAAAAGCTGCCAAGAAAAGAAAGATGCCTGAAGAAAAAGAAGAAGACCGTTTCCCAAAAGTTGTATATTGTAGCTTTAATAGGGCTGGATATCATTTAAAAATGTTCTATAAAATCCTTTCTTCCAAAAGCTATTGTCACTTCTTACTTTACCTGTACAAATGGGTGAGAGAACTGATGTTCAGGGTCACTGTGGCACCCCTTTGCACTGAACAGATCGGCCCATCTGTTGGATGAGATCACATTACAACTTGTTACACAAACACATATAGAAAACACCCATATGAATAAAGGGTTGTCACACAATAAGCAAACTTTGTTTAACATGAAGCAAAATGTAAATGGGTCTACAGCTGAGTCTTGATCTGGAGCAAACCACTTTCTCATTTCAGTTCTTTCACATTGTGCCTGTGTTTAACCAGCACAAGCTGAAAAGTGCTACTGTGTAGAGAATTTCTACACCGATCAGCCACAATGAGGAAAAGGGAGCATTTGGTTTGATGCAAGGGATCTCACTGCTAATGAAAACACGGCAGAATTATTTGATGCCAGTATCTGCAACAAAATCTCTAGACTTGTTGAGCATTTATCTTCCCCAGTTAAAAACATTTAACTCTTAAGTATCTCTAATGATCTGTTACAGTGGGTACAGAAAGTATTCAGACCCCCTTAAATGTTTCACTGTTTGTTATATTGCAGCCATATGCTAAAATCATTTAAGTTCATTTTTTAGTGAAACATTTAAGGGGGTCTGAATACTTTCCGTACCCACTGTATATCACGATCACATTGTTTCCCTGTGACATCAAGTAAAACACTGTACATTCAGGCAAAATGAAGTTGCTTTTCACTTGTGAAGTTAATGAATAGGTCTGCACTCTGATTTTTATAGTGGGACAGTTAGAGGAAGCATGACCAGCATGTGAGTGTCCGCGTCTGCTATGCGATCCTTAAAGTTGATGACACAGCAGATCCTTCTGAGCTCATCAGTAAAGTGAGGAAACTAAAGCAGGTATTATGACTGATCTAGATCTACTATAACTAGGTTTTTCTTTTTATTTTTGGGAACCTGCACCTGCTGTAACTGATCTCAGCTGTAGGGCTTTAAAATCACTGGTTTCAGGTGGCTGTAGTGAAACCTTATCTGTTAGTTTCTGTGTTCGTCTGTGAGCAACATGACACAGCTTGCTCTGTCTGACACATTAGCACTACATGATGCACTTGAACTGTGAGTCATAGCAGTTTCCTTAGCCGACAAAACCCACAAAAGGACAGGAAACTGTGTCAGCCAGTGCAGAGCTGATATCACAGATTATTAGAGAAGTAAAAAAAGCTGAATTTCTTGTTTTGCTAAAATGGCAAACCTCTTTCTACTGTGACAGTAAATCGGGAGGCCATAAAGTCAGTCTCTGTTGTATATAACTGTAAACTGAGTAACTTTGGACTGCTGGTTGGATAAAGCAAGTCATTTGAAGATTTACATTTGTGGTCTGAGGACATGTCTTGCTGTTTTCTGATGGTGTAAAGATCAAATAATAAATCATTCAAAAAACATATTAGTCAATAAGGTGTGAACACACTTTGGGAGTGAAACAATTTGCAAAAATGAGAGAAATGTCCTTTTAATCAGCTGTAAACTAGGTTATTAATTGTTAGTTTTTTATCAAAGAAAATGCTTTTCTCTGGATTCCAGATGTGACATTTTGCTACTTTCTTTTATTTTATATCACTGTGAATTGAAAATCCTTGAGCTTTGGACTGGTGATTGGGTAAAACAAGCAATCTATAGCTGTCATTCCACAATATGCACAGAAACATATAGTGAATTTCTGATAACCCGTGACAGGACAATATCCCATCAATGCAGCTTTGTTATGCACAGATAGCTCTTGATCAAATCATCACAATTAGTGCCAGTTGAGACTGAAGGACAGTAGGTAAAGCAATGTATTAATGGTATAGTATTGTCGTGGCTGGTAGTAATATTTACAATAAATGTCTGTTATAACACACTTTAACTTCCTGATCAAATGTAGGTAAATGTAGCTTATCACACAGCTGGATACGGATTTTTAAATTCGCTAGGTTTGTAAGGCTAGCAAGCTAACACGTCGTTAGCTTGTTATTTAGTAGCTAGTGGGTAAAATAGTAGCTAGCGTTACCTGCTAATGTTTATAGTAGCTGTAAGTGAACTACAAAGGAGCAAATTAATATCACTTTGCGACAAATGTGTAATAAACAACCTGCCTCGGTTAAGTTTGCAAGCGAAACATTTATTGCACAGTGAACCGGCACATTTTCATGCAGTTAAAATATCTTACCAACAGAAAAACATAAACAGCTGTACTCACTTTGCCGATAATGTGTTGATAGAGCCCGTTATGAGCATAAGTCCCGCAAGGAACAGCTGGTATTTTGTCCAAGACATGCTGAACGTGTGGACGGGACAAACAACCCAGGAACAGAAAACTGTTTAGATTGAGGACCCCAGGTTCTTATTCAGAAATGTGATTTCCTTTGTATGTGCACGCCACATGACAGCCCAGAGTCAGCTGACCGCAGACCATACGTCACGCTGCCTTCACGCTCTGTCAGAAATTACGTAACTTGAGGAAAATTACTAAATATAGACCACATATATATTTTCAAGAAGAAAAATGAAAGTAAATACTTTTGGCTAATAGTGAATTGCCATAGTTTTATATAATATACAATGGTACATTAGGTGTATTGAATTAAAAAGGAGAAACTTAGTGAAGGAAACTAATGGTTTTATAACACAGCTGTACTTGTAAACACTACTAAATTAACAAAGCAATATTACTATTCAAGTAAATATCATATATTGCTAATCACGTTTAAATGAGGAAAATGCTCAGTCTTGACCTTGTAAACAACAGCTGAGAAAACAATCCCACTATTTACTTATGATGTAACTGTACTGATGTTTTTGATCATATCAACCATGATCCAGAATTTAAGTTTATAGGCTTACTGATAGGGAAAACGCAGTATTAGTGGTCCTCTATGCCTATAGCTTCATTATACTGGTTGAAGTCCATACAGTTTCAACAAAATTCAATGAAGTTACTTTCCCGTATTTTATTTTGATATTGTACCATAAAGCAATTCTGTGTACTTGATACAGCTGCCAATGAAAACACCAGGTGTTACTTGGTCTTTTATGCTATTATTGACCACTCACTGTACTTAACTTTAAGTTGTTTATATAATTTGCAGTAAAACAAATGAAGAATTTATGAGGGAACACTAAAAGTAACATGACAGGCCTCATGGACAAACAGCAGGGGGAGTCCAAGACTATTGATATGGACCTTCATCTTCAGAAAGTGGGACCACAGTAAATGTACCCCTCTGTGGCCTCACATTTCTTAGGATTAAAACATGCACTCGACTTTCCATGAGGATGCTGTCCTTTAGTGCTTATGAGGTCAGTCTGTGGTTTTTTGCAATTTATCAATGGCCAATACCATTAAAAAGTCAGACCTCACACAAGGTTAGAGATTTGTATTACAGGTTAGTCTAAAGGCTACCACAAGAATATGAAAAAGATACTAAAATAACCAATTTTAACGATACACTGCAACAAGATTTATTCCTCTCTGGACACACAAAAATGGGGGGAAATTAAGATATCAATAGATTTTTCTTTGCTTCAGAAATAGGTTTATTATGAGCTCTTCTCCTGGTTTCTAGTTTTACAGGGTGCTAAACAGGATTTTAGTGACTTCCCAGATAGATGATGAGAACAAAGAGTCATCTGTTCAGTGACTCTGTGAACTATCTCCTCTCCTCTCACTGCAGACAGCAGTAAAACCTCCTGGCTCCCACTGCTTAACATTTACTATAGCTAACATAACTCTGCACAAGTGCTGTCATGAACACCATAAACTGGACTCACTCTTGTTTCTTGTGACTACATTTCCGGTGTATCTCCGTCCACCAAGTCTAAAAATGAAGGGGCTGCTCAGTTAAGCAGAGGCCGGACTGTCTTGTAAAGAGTTTACTACAAGGGTGAGAGCAGTCGAAACATCAATATCTTTCATCAAGCCCTTCAAAATCAACTGGCCTTAAGTGCTGAACAGGGTCAATAAATCACATTAAGTGTGTATGGATAAGGGTTAAGTCAGATGACAGTTAGTGCCTTTAGCCTAATCAACTTTGTTGCTAAGCTGCAGTAAATCTTAGCAGCCTCTGTAATCAATGTAATTGTTTAGATTTATGTTGAGACATATTATTTTTGACTGGTCACTGAAACATGAACACTTTCACAGCAGTTTTACTGAAAGTATTTACTTCTGTCACTAAAACCAGTAGGATTTACAAGACATTGCCAGGAGCCTGGTGTGGACAGGGATGCAGCGAAAAATGTGATTGCTGATAGATGAAGACATTAAGTGGCAGTAGCATTTTTATTTCTTTATTTCATTTTCTTTTCTGCATGTATGTGCATATAGATTCATTTTGAATGAATGTAACGTGGGGCAGCGCAGTGGTTAGCACTATCACCTCACAGCAAGAAGGTTCTGGATTTGAACCTTGAGGCTGGCTTTCTGTGTGGAGTTTGCATGTTCTCACAGTGGCTGTGTGGGCTCTGTTCCTCCCATGGTCTAAAGACATGCAGGTTAGGCTGACTGGTGACTCTAAATTGACTGTGTGTGGGAGTGGTTATCTCTCTTTATATGTCAGCCCTGTGATAGACTGGCATCCTGTCCAGGGTGCACCCTGCCTCTTGCCCAGTATCAGCTGGGATTGACTCCATTCTCCCCCGTGACCATCCACAGGATATAGATTATAAATGGATGAATCTAATGTGCATATCAATGCCTGCAATTTGTCTCACCCCTCTGGCACTGGTGGACATTGAATATCCCCATGCATGCATTTTCTTTACAGCAAATTACCCAGAGGTCACTGGAGATCTGGAGCCATATTGATTAAAAAGAAATGAATTACCTGTTAGGGTCAGCAGGATTTGGTTGTGTTACATTAGCCAATAGCAGCAGTACATTTGCATGTCTAAAGAAACAAGGAGATGTGCAACTCCATGCTAATTTGGGCACACTCAGTAAATACACTGACTAATTAGTGCAGGAGCCCCACAGAAATGTCAGATAATGCATAATGATGCAAACATTATTATTTTGGTGGGTATAAGAATCCAGTGTGATGCTAGCTGTTCTTATTTAAAAGCTAAATGTTTAACTTGTTGGATTAATGGTTGAATCTTGTGATGATCTCCAGGTCATTTTGTTTAATGGAACAGCAACAATCATTAAGGAATGATAATAGGAGAAGAACAGACAATGCAAACAAATGATAATAAAGAAAGAATGTACTGTATAATATAATCTCCTTATGAAAGAACAGACTACAGTATCTCTTGGGGCTGGGAGTGGGACTAAACCTCTGTGGAGCTGGCGCAGTAGATGAACCTTGCTGTTTCTGGGATTCATCTATAGCCTTCAAACAAAGCTCACCTACAAGATGTCTTTACTGTCTCTGTGTTATATCAAACACAGACAAGCATATTCCTAAAAGCTCTTTCAGTGGACACACTGTGTGTTCACATGAAGCTGTCACCACTAATGTGGTTGTTGACATACAGTGACTGGAGGAAAGAGCGCAGTGTGATGAAACTATAGCGCAGTTCAGCTCATGAGAAGGTTATTAAGTGGCAATTTGTTTAAAGGTCGGAACTCTCTCTTTTGTTGTTCAAAATGTAAATGAGGAGAAATACGGCCAGTAGAGACAGATCTACAGTATTGATCTGTAACAGAGATCTATCTACTGTATAATGACACAAACTGTGAATGTCCAATGATGAGTTAAACAACACAGGAAAGTAATTGCAGGAAAGGTTCCGTGTTAATAAAACAACTTAAAAGTCATAAAATTGTGATTAATTTAATGCTTCACCATCTGTGACACAGACTGCAGGATGTAACTTTTTATTTAATTCAGAAACTCTGTTGTTTGCTTTGCAAAATGTTAAAGCTTTGATATGTGGTGCATTTTAAAATATAACAAAATCTCTGATGCAAAAATGCCTGCCCTGTGACCCATTGTCTTCTCTGTCCACTCGTCTTCTCTATTATCTATTGTATCAACAACACATCAGGACAGTTGTCATGATTATGCATCAGCCGCTGAGAGCTGTCACTGGTTACGCAATTGCTCTCCAGCGGTGCTCAGTGTGTTTGTGGACCTGATGCTCTCGTAGGTCCCTGCATGACCTGGAGTGGCCATCAAACACGTGACTTTAGGCAAATTATTAAGCATGTTGTCCTCTTTAGAGACTGCAGTAAAGAAGGATTGAAATGCAAAGTGCTCTTGAGGCAGGAAAATACACCTTGGGGTTGCACTGTTGTTGTTTATTAGTCACCTTTCTTTCACGCTGATATTTGGAAACAAAGTGCTAAGTAATAGTTGAAATAGGGATGTCTTGCAGTTGCAGAACTGTAAAATTTCTCCTGCAGTGCTACTGCTCATGCTTCACTATAAGAAGCTCCATTGAGACCATGAAAAGGGCAGTTACCACTTACTGAAATGTGAAACTTAAGATCTTGTGACTTCATTTATCACTGAGCATGCTTTCTGAAAAGAGTATCACTATTCTTTATGGTAGTTATTGTCTTGTTCTTTGATATGATATTGTAATTATGATTTTAAGTGCACTTATATGATGATTATTAGTAGAATTATCATCTTTTGATTCCTGTTACGTTCCTTGTTGGTAATGACCAGTGGTGTGTATGAATTTCACAACAATCACAGCTCATATGTAGAGTGATTACCTAGCTGTGGAGAAGCTTTATGACATGGCTGGGATGTGCGGGGTATCAAAGGCCTGGCAAATTTTCCTGCACATCTTCTTGGAGGACACCTAATCACAACTGACACAGGAACAGCGCCGCTGATTTGATTCTAATCCAGTCAGAAGTCAGGAACATTTCCAAGGCTCTCAGTGTTTCTTTTTGGATAAAAGGGCACAATTGAAATTGAGCCATGGATGCTGTGATGTGATACCTATTTTAATCATTTTCACAACCCCAGGCTGTGAGTAAAAAGTAAAAAAAAAAAAAAAAAAAAAAAAAAAAAAAAGCAGCTTCTAAGCCTTTTACTGTCAACCACTGAAATTTTCCACAACTTGATGCTCTGTGAAGAAAAAAATCTCAAAGGAATGAAGGAGATGAGATTATTAGGACTGTTTCAGAGTTGTTCAGTTAAGATGAATATAATGCACTCTACTCTGGGATTGTGTTAATGCAGGTGCTGCATGGTTTTTGATGTGTGATGGCTGTAGATCTCTCTTTTGATCTCCAGTGCTGCTCTATCAAATCAACCTGGCAAAACCCCATTAGTTCTGTTTGTTCCGATTACAGGCCACAGGCCCGTTGATGATCCAACGCCAGATACTTTAAACAGCAAAAGGCTCACATGGGATTCCACATGTAGACCTATATGTATGTTTTTGTCAGTATTTATTCAGCTTTTCTTCACCTGGTGTGATCTGCTGAGAGAAGGGTTGGTAGGTCACAGCAGCAGCACGTTTACAGAGAAAAAACAATATATCCATCCATCCACTGAACTTGTTGCAACACCACTACTGTAAGACAATCACATAAGATGATACCCTACTGAGGATCCTTCTTGCTGTTGCCATTTCCTTTTTATATCACTTAAAATAATCAGATTCCAGCGCATCTGAAATGTGGAAGCTAGCCACTCCAGACCAGTGTCCAGTTGTAAAACACTGATAGAACAAGGTCAGTGTGTTCTGACTTCAGTGGAAATATTTTATCTCTTGACAGTGTGCCATTAAGTTTCATATTTCTGACTTTTGACACACACACACACACACACACTCACACACACTGATATATAAAGTATAGAAAGCATCTGCATGTGGATACCTCCTGATTACCTTCACATTTTACCAATAACACAGCAAAAACAGGAAATCAGAGTTGAAAAGAAAGGAGTGAATAGGAGGAAGCTGTATTTATCTACTTGCTCTACCTGCCGAACATCTCAGTATTTCATCTGCTGACAGAGGGAGAAAAGCTCCAGGTGTTGGTGAGAGAAAATGAAAACACTGTCAATCTGTCTGAAGAATAAGAAAGAAGAGAAATGGGAAATAAGAAAAATGATCCCCAAAATACATTTGAATATTTTATTTTCATCATATATAAACACCTCCACCCATTCAAACATTCTATATTATTATATATTATTGCAGTTTGGTTTGATTGCTGTCTTTTTTTCATGAGTAACAATTAGTCTGACATTCAAGTGTTTCTTTACTGTCAGTGCCAGGAAAGCAAATAGTGTCTGGGTGATGAAAGAGCAAATAGCCCAGACTGACTGGCAGGAAAATAAGAAGACCAGCATGCAATTTGTAATTTTCACGTGTCAGTTAGTTCTACATGACATCTTGCTGCTTTCTTTTGGAAAGATCAGCACCTAAAAAGACATTTCCTCTCTGTGAGATTAACAGCCGAATGTGGAGCAAACCATTAACGGCGTTCTCCGCTCATGAGATAAAGGTCCTGGCAGACAGGTGAATGTTATTTTCCTTTGAGAAATGAGCTGACTTAATGCAAAGGGACTGGGATGTAAGAAAAACTGGATAGTGGACATGCAGAGATGGAGGCTCTGGAAAGATTAGAAACCCATCATCCACTAAAGAACCACTGTCATCCTCTCCACTTTAATTTGTTCTTGTGAATCTGCTGGGCTGCCCCTGAAAAGAATTCAGATTAATCTAATGGCTGTCATATAAATCAGAGCAACCGGTGATGTTAAGATGAAGATGAGCTGCAGATCAACTAACTACAGAGAATTTCTACAGGTCAGGCTTTGCAGGTTGAATGATGAAATGTAATGAAGGACAGTGAAACCTCAGCCAATCATCTGGGAACTTTGTCCTTGGGAGTGCAGAGGAGGAGTCTCTGGTTTGCAGATATAAAGGTGTGGCTGTGACAGTTACAGTATACAATGACTATCACATCAGGGTGAGAAAACTTGAAGTCACCTCATCCTAACTTTGGCAACATAACGAGGCCTTGAGGCAATGCAGTAAATCCACAGATTTGTCACAACGGTGTCCATACAGGCCAGATCACATGGTAGTTAATTTTATCTTTATGCATACACCATGTTTTATAAATAAGAAAGCAGTTTCCTGTGCTTTACAGAGGCATACAACCAAAAATAACTAAAATAGTGAAAGAGTATTGAGGAGTAAAATGATGACTTCCTTCTTTCCTTCTCATAGCCTCTCAGATTAGTTGGAAAGCCAGACCAAAACACTTTTATGCTTTTGTAAAGAAGTTCTGCACTAGAGCGTCTTTACTCTGTAGAATTTAAATGAGAAATGTTCTTTCTTCATTCGTTTCCTTCAGTTTGTTTGTTTGTTTCTCCTGTTATGAATTCACTCAATCAATGAATGAATGTTGGTTCCACAATGCTTGTTGCTGTTGCTAGCATTTCAATTTGTCCAGTGTTAAACAATTTTTAATACTGAGGCCAATGTGTTTTACACAAGATTTCAATCCCAGCTGACACTGGGCCAGAGGCGGTGTTCCATAAACTTCCACCTTTAAATAAATGTTTTTATAAATAGAATTAAAAAATAGCAAATCCTTGATGATCATATATTTCATCAGTCAACACTCAAATGTTTTAAATGAATTCATATTTTATTATGATTAAAGAAAACACATTTAAATGTATAGTGACACACAGCTGACGGCAGGCCCTCTATCAGTTAGTGAGAGATAATGAACGATGTTAACAGCATATTGCAGTTATTGCAGAACATTCCAGCAGTTAAAAAAACACACACACAAGAAAGAACTGAATGTGATATGATGCATACTGGGTCACTGTAAAATAAAATAATTATTATATAAGAAAACATGCTTTAGAGAACTAAAGCGAAAACAAAATAAACACTAAGACCTCAGTTGGCTGAATCAAGTTCAGGGCTGGAGCCCCATAGGTGCATGAGATGCAAACTCAGAGACCACCGAGCGAGATGTACTGCTATTATTCTGAAATATCCACAACAAAGAGCTTCAATTGAAATTTCTCAGACTAATACCAGAAAAAAGACTTTTTTAGGATACATCATTTATGAAACAAAACACAAAGTGATTCCATTAAACAATAAATAAATAAAACAGTGGACTGAATTCCACAGTCTTCTAAAACATTTTTAAGGTGCAGCAGTGAATAAGATATGACTTTCTACTATACAGGTGAGCTGACATGCTTTAAGTTATCAGAATATAGCTGTGTTATATGAAAACATGAGACAAACATCTATGTGAGGTCTGAAAGGAGCCTCTCTTTCTTCAGTGAGACACTGACTTGCTTACTCATCTTCAATCACAACTGTCATTTAAATGCCTGTAATGTAAATTTTTTAAATAGAAAGAAACTACATACAATAAAGCAGAGCACGAAGCTTGGCTTTAACCTGAACTTTAGAGACACACAGGAGAAGAGGCTGAGATTATTTTTGAAAACCTTCACTGAAAAAAATAGGCTTTTTTCCTCAGTAACACCTACTGCACTAGTGAAGTGTCCAAATATATACGCATGGAGTGAATATTACAACCAAAGATTTGTTTTGGAAAAAGTGGATTTAAGATTATTCAATAAAATATTTATCAGTGTGGCATAATATACAGTTAACACACCCCAATCCTTCTCAAAAACATGCCTCACAGTGTATGTTGTCCCTTTTTATAATAGATTTTGAAATTCAGTATTATGAACAAAGAAACAGATGATTATGATTTTTATTATTAGAAGTCAAAGGTGCAGAGAGTGCTGCACATTTTTTTTCCTTTTTCTAACATAAACAATTTCAGAGTTTGTGTAATGATTGCTTCTTAAAAAACCCTTAGCACTTCTTCTCTGTGACATCAGGAGCAGTGTTAGTGCTAAATGGTTTGTGCTTAGCTAATGGAAGTTAAATACATGGCTGGAGCCTGGAGATTACAGCACCAGGCTCTTCTGTGCCAAAACAAAGCAAACATCCGGAATACTGTGTCCCTTTGGGACTGGAGCTGTTCCCCTGATGTCCTCAGCTAATCTGGTACCACAGTGGGAGGGCCTTCCCTCAGCGCAGGGTAGACACAGGTGGGACTTGACCTTAAAGCATGAAGTTCTCATGGCTTAGATGGAGTTTCTACGTTTATTGATTCCTCTGTAGGTGCTGAGGCTGTGCAAACCAGTGGACACCGAGCTGATGCCCGAGTGACGCTGCAGGCAGCATACACAGCCGTTAGAGTGGAGAGGGTTGGAAAAAGCCTCTCCCTGCTCTATGTAAGTGTTGGAGGTTGAAAGGTCACGTGGGATGATCATGGGTATGGAGTATTGAAGCTTCTCTCTACTCTTGAACCAAAGGCAGGAGCACATAGACTGGAAGTGGAGCACCTCGGCGTAAACGTTACGTAGACCTCGGCTCGCTGTTCCTCCTGCATTGCCTCCAACTGCACCACAACCAGAGGGCGTGGAGGAGGTGGAGGCCTCATCTACAGAGCAGCTGATGTGTCCGCCTGCCTGACCGTTATGAGCGAGGAGAGCCCGCTGCTCTGCATCTCTTTTCTCATCTTCAGTGTTCATGGTCATGAAGCGCAGCACTGCTAAGTTGAGGAAGGCTCCAATCACAGCCAGACCTGTCAAGATATAGATGAAGCTGAAGGCCACATACTCCGGCTTGGTCTGCAGAGCATGCTCATTCTGTAGCGCCACATAGTCACCAAAGCCAATGGTGGTGAGCGTGATGAAACAGTAGTAGTAGGCATGAAAGAAGCTCCATCCCTCAAAGTGGGAGAAAGCCAGCGCCCCAACACACAATGTGCTCATGCAGGATATGAAACCAATGGTTACCATGTTGACCATGGAGACCTCAGTGCGCCTCATGCCAAGGCACTTCTTCAGGTGGTGAAGCAGGTACCTGACGAAGGTGTTGATCCGTTCACCCACACTCTGGAACATGACCAGGGTGAGAGGGATGCCCAGGAGAGCGTAGAGCATGCAGAACACCTTCCCTTCATTTGTACTTGGGGCCGCATGGCCATATCCTGAGGGAAAGAAGAAAGGAGCAGGGTTACTGGAGCAGAACTAATTAAATTTATAGTGCAGAGGACAGAGGTCTGAGAAGAGGAGGCTGTAGGCTGGGAAGATAGTCAAACCTAGAGCAGACAGATATAAATGATTTGTATTCTTTGAGCAGCACTTCCAACACTCTTCATGTGACAAAGGCAGAGCGCAATTGGAGATGAGAATGCACAGCAGTGTCGTGGGAATACGCAAGTATTAATGTCGAGTATGGGTGAGGGAGCTTGAATAATTCATTAACAATTGGTTTCTGCAGAGTGACTTTGGCTAATGAGTACATCTGTAACTAATTAGTCCTCTACATTGTACCAAATTAAATAAATAGGATACCATAGAGCTGACCAGGTAATACTTTGCCAGCTACGCGACAAGGGTCTCTGTTCAGACATGATGCCTAGATGTGAAGTCCCCTGCAAATTCCTAGCTAATGGTAAATGTCTGAGAGGGCCTAGACATAGGCTCCTGTAATTTCTCAGTAGTCAGATTTTGGCACATTCCCCAAGAAAGTCAAAGTTTGGACTATACCAATAATTTGGTCTGCACAAAACAAACAGCTTATGAATTTATGATCTTCCTTCTGGCATATTTCAGGTTAAGCATCAGCCCTTTTTCCTTATACTTTCTCACTCCTATTGTCCACAAAGTCTTTGCGTGCAACATTATCATCACTTGAAATATATTTGCAGTTGAGCCATCTGTCTGTCTGGTGCCAAATCTGTTTAAAGCTTTCCCAGTTGTGCCGCCAAAACAAGAGCCATTACAATTGATTTGTGGAAGGAAAAACCTGACCTATTCATCAAGTGCAGAGACATTTCATATTTTCAGTCTCAGCACAAGGAAATTTACCCCACTGTCTAATGACAGAAACATGACTGACGAGTACTCTGTTCCGATTAGTGGTCGATTTATTATACACAGTTCATTTTGTCAGGTTAATGATGTTGTCCAGTACTTTCTGATATTTTTAGTTTGTCACAGCTCTGCCAGACGAATCAAAGTAACCCTTCATTAGCACCACCCATCCATCATGTTCCAAATGTGTTCACTTGAATTGGATGGTATCAAGTCTTTTAAACTGTTAAAACAATTTTTATACAGCTAAACTCTCAGTGTTTAGGTCTGTTTGCATTTGTTCTACAGTACTACAATCTTGTGTGGCAGGACCTGGACGTTTCAACCACTTATCCATTACTCAAACTTTAACTGTTTAGTTGATAAACAGCTGGAACAGCTAAATGAGTGTACTTTTGGTTTTTTTTATCTGTTTATCCATTAATCCAACACTGCTTATTTAAATTGTGTTTGCAGTACCTATGGTATTTATTGTAACCATTTATCCATAGTTATTTCAGTTGATTATTCATTATGTTTAGCCATCAATTACAATTTATCAGTTATTTCTAACCATTTCAAGGATTTATCTATTAATTTGGGCTCACTTTAACTGTTTGTTGATACTTTAACAACTTGAACCTCACAGTTCACCAATTTCACTCATGTAAACAGATGCACACTTGCAGGTTTGATGCCACACAGGCATTCACACACACCAAGGAGCAACAGCAGTTAGCAGCACAGGTCCCATTGTAAAACAACATTCACAAATGCAACACACATCTAGGAAAAGTAAATGATTTATGACCCATTTGGCATTCTATAACTCCAAATTATTCTCTATAAATTGAACGTTTCAATTTTAATATTGTCATTTCCTATTAAAATATTAAGAAGTAGCTCTACACCTGTAAACAAAGTACATACACCTATTAACTATTTACTGTGGAGCAAGCAGAACTGTATCCAGGTGAGCACAGAGGCTGAGCTGCAGGCTTTTCAGGAGTTGTCAGCAGCAGGGAGCAGCTTATCAAGACATGGGGACGACCAGAGTGACAGCAGCGCTCATCAACACCAGACAAAGGAGCTGGAGGCGACAAGGCCAGCAGTCCTGCCACTGTGTGAGAGGCTGGCATGACGAGTTCATCCTCCCCTCTCCTCCCCAAGCCTCTCCTGCTCTCCCAACAGTGACAAAGTTATCATGAGACAGGACGTCTCCACCGTTTGTCCAGGCACGCAGGGGAAAGCCACCGAGGCCTCTAGGGCCACTCACACTGTTTACATGGATTACTGTCATTGCCACTGGCAGAGAAAAAGTGGCATATCACCACAAAAACAATGGATCCCAGAGACCACATCCTTACACTCCAGTTTGAGGCAGAAGTATTTTAAGTACGTTTGGATTTAAAATAGCAGTATCATTATAAAGGAATGGCTGCAACTATTTGCACATATTTCATGAACAGATGGGGAAAAAACTGAGATAAGACATCTGGGAAATAATTTTCTCCAAAATTAGCTCTGATTTTCAATTTGTGTAAGGATTGTTGTAACCTATAAAAGCAAAGACTTTACCGCAACCTGGGGCTGACTGTCTCCTAAACCTCATTCCTGTAATTATCATGTGAAAGGAAATAAAAAAAATTGCATAACACTGAAAGCGATGAGAGCCTTTAAAAGACTTATTAGGCCATGCTAACAAGCAGGGATGACAGCAGAGCACAGGTGCATCATATTCTAAACTCGTGCTCCCTCCTCACTGCTGCTGCGTCTCATTACTGAATCATAATTTACAGCTAATCATTTAAGCTGATGCATCTGGCAACAGGTTAGTCTGAATTCAAATGCTTCAAAACAAATCACTTCATAGAAAGAAGAATTATTCCCTTATGATATCTTAGCTATTTAACATTTTTTAATTTGGAAATTTAATTTCAAAACTTTACTCCTGACCTGTAACAGATTTTTGTTGACCTTCTTGTTAATTTCACTAATTTTAATCCTCTCATATTCATTTTACCTGATTGGTGCCCAGCTTTATTAAACCTCACTCAGTATTCTATTTTAAATGTCTGATATCTGATATGTTCTGGTGATTATCTCATACATATATGATTGCTGGTTTATTTCCATAAATATCAGGTCAGTGAATTAAATTTCTCCCCCCTCTCCTAAAACACAACATCATCCACATCACTTACGGCATCTAGTCTTCATTATACTAATTAATTAGACAGGGATAAAAACAGGCTTTGAAAATACATCAAAGAATGGCATAATGTGGCTGTTAGGGCTCCAGTTCTTTGTCACTCAATTACATTTTCATTGATTACCAGGTACAATTTGTTCTCTTCAACAAGATGAGGAGCACAACCTATTCATCAAGTACATCACCTCACCTAATGCGAAGGATTCTTAAAGCAGTGGCGCGTTTTTCACGGACCGGTTTAGCAGGAATCTGATTAAGAATAAAAGGTTGTTGGAAGCTATACTGTATGTGGCTTTAAAAAAATCCATAACATGAAGAAATTAAAGAAATTTAAGTATAATGTGCACACCAGTAGGACTACAACTCTCCCCAGTCTCTGGACAGGGAACAGTAGGGTATACAGACTCAGAAATGCTGGCGGCAGAGCTGCTCTCTCTGGGACTGACAGATAATGTCCTCAGACATCGCTACACCCTGGAGACCAGACAATGCCACACTGCAGAACACACTGATCCGTGTGTGTGGTGCAGGGATCACTCACTACTGACGTGAAAACAGTAGCCTGCTAGATTCTGCTGTCCTTGTAAAGACGTCATTAAAGAAAATGTATTACCATCTCATGTTACTATCCGGAATAAAAGTCATATTTTTGGTAAACAACAGTTAGTTAAAATCTCCGACTGAAAAACAACTGGAACATTTGTAATAATTTACAGTTCCCTTGAGAGGACATGATTGTGTGTATCACTGTAGAACTGACCAGTAAACACATTCCTTCTGCAAAGCTGAAGTGTGCTGAGGTGTTGCACGCCATCACAACATTCAGCCATATATGGCAACATACAGGTGGCCTGAGCGGCTCAGTGACATCACTTATCTGCGTTTACGCCATCCCTAAAATGCCGCGCAGATCGAGGAATGATCAGTACAACTGTGTAAATAAACACTCGTGTCGTCCATCTGCTTTAGGCTGTCTTTGACCAGCAGCCCACTTTGCTTCCCAGCTTGTCTTCTCACAGCTCGCCTTCATCATCAGCTGTGTCTGGCCAAAGATATCATCGCACAACTTCACAAGCTGTAACTTTATTCATTTGTAAGCATCAAGCATTTCTATAGATGACACCCAACAGCGTTAAAGTAAAAGTTAATTATGGCTGTAGTTTTCCCACGAATTAGGGCTCATCTCAGTCGTGAACCCACAAACCACCATCAATTCTCAGTCAAAGGCACCTCAAACTCCAGAGAACCCCATGATTGTTTATTCAGGCCCTCAAACACAGCTCTGGCTCTCCCACCTCTCTCCATTATGTCGTCCGGCTTTTGACCTACAAAGCCTCGCTGACAGCTGCTGTGTAATGTCAATGTGTGGGAAAGCAAAGAATTCCACGAATACATTTTATTAGAAAAACATCATTTAGAAACAGTGAGTGGAACCATGAAAAACAAAAAAGCATAAATGCATCTTTTTCAGTGAGTTATAGATTAGAAAGAAAGCCTTTTCTGCTGTTTAATGCCCTGATGTAACTTCAGTGCAGTAATATTTAGTAGGGCAGCAGTGGTGCAGGACGAGGTACACAACAAGTCACAACATATGGAAATGTAACATTTTCTACTGGTGGTCAGTGTACAAGAAGAAGCCCTCCAACATAAATGACAAATCAACTTTCTGTAATCTTCCACTTCTGTGGTAAAGGGTTAGTTTGGTCTATGCAACTAAAACTACTGGGTTAAAGTTAGAAAAATACTGTCATGGTCCAAGGAGACCAATGTCCACAGAGGACAGAACACAAACAGAAGACTCCTACTGTATCTCATGTCCACATACCGTGTCGCCCCGACAATCCACCATAACATTCTCCCCAACAGTGTAAACCCACTGACAATGACACAACATAACACAAAGTTTGCCCATTCATTTTC